TTGTTTATTTATTTATTTATTTATTTATTTATTTATTTATTTATTTTTGAGAGATTTTTGCTATAGGGTGTATGCGCTTACTGGAGAGACAGAGATAGAAAGAGAGAAATTACTCTCCTGGGGAGATGGCCACTCACAATCCCTGCTCCTTCATTGTCCTTTTGGGATTTGGGGCACGCATGCACATGTTCTTACAGTGAGTTTCCAAGCTGCCAGGCCTGGGATTTGAGCCACAGTTGGCCGTGTGGGAGTTCAGTGCCATACTCACTACACCACCTGCTGGCCCCTTTAGTTTTTAAAAAGTAGGAACTTGAGAGCTGGAAGAAAGACCAGGAGCACAGGTGGTGAGGGAAGATGGTGGCTACCAAGAGGAAACGGCGTGGGGTCTCAGCGGTGCAGCCGAAGAAGCCAAAAAGAAACGAAAAAGATGCTGGGATGCCAGTGAAGCAGCACAGCGAGGCAGAGGAGGTGGAGGAAGAAGAGAGAGACTGTATCCCAGGCCCTGTTTGCAAGAGCAAGTGGAAGAATAAGGAACAAATTCTCATCTTTTCTTCCAGAGGAATAAATTTTAGAACAAGACATTTAATGCAGGGCTTGAGGATGCTGATGCCTCATTCTAAAGCAGATATTAACATGGATCATAAAGATAAATTATTTGTGATGAATGAGGTCTGTGAAATGAAAAACTGCAATAAGTGCATCTATTTTGAAGCTAAGAACAAACAGAATCTCTACATGTGGCTTTCAAATTCCCCTCATGGACCATCTGCTAAATTCCTTGTTCAAAATATTCATACCCTTGTTGAACTAAAGCTGACCGGAAACTGTTTGAAAGGTTCTTGGCCCCTTTTTGTCTTTTGATCCTGCTTTTGATGAATTACCACATTATGTTTTATTAAAAGAACTCCTAATTCAAATCTTTAATGCACCACGGTATTATCCTTAAAGTCAACCATTTGTGGACCGTGTGTTTACTTTCACCATTTTGGAAAATAGGATATGGTTTTGGAACTTTCGGATCCTAGATGAAGATGCTGCTCCTGTAGAAATAGGACCTCGTTTTGTCCTAAACTCATAACGATTTTCCAGGGAAGTTTTGGAGGACCAACTCTATACGAAAATCCTCACTACCAGTCACCACACATGCACTGGCGTGTTGTAAGATCCATCTCTGCTGCAAAATACAGGGAAACACCAAGTGAAGGATGTGCAGAAGCTAAGAAAGAAAGAGCCAAAGACTATTCTTCCACATGAACTTACTGAAGATGTTTTTGCTATACCAGCTGAGGAGAAACCAGTAGAAATGCAGTGGGTAAAACCAGAGTCAAAAGTCAATTTGAAAGCAAGAAAGAAAAGGATTTACAAAAAGCATAGAAAAATGCAAATAGGATGGACAGGACAGTAGGAGTGCAAAAGGAATCAATGAATATTTATACTGTATTCAGTGTGTAAATACTTCTACCATTGAGGACTGTCTTATGTCTATAATTAGATATTAGTGTGGCATTTAAGAAAAGAAAAATGGAAATCTTAGAATCGGTGATGTTTATCTTTTTCTAAATAAAATATGACCAGAACTCAAAAAAAAAAAAAAAAAAAAAAAGCAGGAACTTGGCTGCACACTCCAAAACTGATAAGTTACCACTTGGGGGTTGACCTTGTCTGCGATTCCATCTTTTTTCCTTTTCACCCAATTCCTCACTTTTAAAAAAGAACATGTGTTTCTTTTTGTACATGTGTTTTTTATGCTCTTAAATCTTATTGAAGAAATGTGGAGTTTAAAAAACAAATAAGGGGACCAGCAGTTGGCGTAATAGCTATGTCACTGGACCCCCATGTAGTTGACTGCTGTTTGAGTCCTGGACCCGGTGACTTAATCTTGTGCCGGGTGCATGTGCGTGCGTGCCCAAGATCCTGAGAGGAGAACGGAGTAGAAGGGACTACCGCATGGCCGTCCCCGCTGAGGGGTGATTTCTTGCTTTCTGCCTCTTTGTCTCTCTCCATCTTTCTGGTGAAAGCCCTATAGCAAAAACCTCTCAAAAACAAAACAAAAAAAAATAAGAAATATAGTTCTATTATCTTGATAATTATTTTCTTAACCACAGAGATCTCAAGAGTAGAATGCCTTACTGCAAATAGAGTAGCTGTATAGATTTCACAAATTTTATTATTCTAAGCCTATAAGTTCATCTTCCTGAAGGTTAAAATGTCTAAAATGTTGTTATGGATTTCAGATCATAAAAGTTCAACTTCTGGAGAGTTTTTTTTTTTTTTTTTTTCGCCATAAGGTGCATGCGCTCGCCAGACAGACAGAGAGAGACATAGAGACAAAAAGCAAGAAATCACCCCCCAGGAGGGATGGTCACACCGCAATCCCTTCTCCTCCATTCTCCTCTTGGGATCTTGGGCATGCACGCACACGCGCCTGGCGTGAGTTTTAAGCCACCGGGTCCGGGACGCAAACCGCAGTTGACTACGTGGGAGTCCAGCGACATAGCCATTACGCTAACTGCTGGTTACCACAAAAGTTGAACTTCTAACATGTGGGGTTTTGGATTTATTTTCAGGCTTGCTTTTTCTCTTTGTTTGCAAAGAATTCCAGGAAGCCAACCAAGTAGCCAGTCAGCATACAACACTTCTTGAAAATTACCAGAAATAATGCAAGCATTTAATCTATTTCTAATAATAAATTAATAAGTAAATTCATGGTAAAATGTTCTATAGTGTTTCCTGAAAACCAAGGTTTTGTTTGAAGTGTTGGATTTACATGAGTCCCCTGTCTGCAGACGTGATGCCCTTGCGTGTTATACCAATGTATCTGCCCAGTTGAGTCAGGCTGGGTCAACCAGGGGTGGGGGGACCTTGAGCCTGACCCACGTAAATTGTTGGAGATAAGATGGGTGGGCGTGAATGCTATGGTGCTTTGGGATAGTGTTTCTCAGCATCACTGTAATTCTCATGTGCAGAAATATTTTATTTTGAAGTTTGGGAATAATTTTAGATTTATAGAAAAGTTGTGAAGAGTACAGAGAGTTCTAATGTGCTTTTTACCCCAGATATGCATACATTTCAAGGAGTTAATCTAGCGCTAACCCCTAGCCTGGGACCTGGAACAGGAGGGCGTCCAGCAGATGTTATCATGGAACTAACAGATCTGGGAACAGGCTGTGTCCTCCAGAAAGGGCTTTCACCAGCTCGCTTGTATTGAGGGCAAACCTTGAGACTTACGCGATACTTCTTTTGAACTTTTTGTCTTTATTCTGGAGAATTTAGAGAACTTATCTTGTAACACACGTTCTCAAGGACAATGAAGAGTTTTGCCATTATCTTTGCAAAATGATTTTACTTCAGGGAGCAGATTGGAAATGTGCTTGGCAGTGGTCAGAGGCCAGGAGCAGGAAGGAGGTCCTTCGTCAGGAAGACCAGGACGTATGGAAAAGAGAGAAAAAGAATGGGCTCTACAAGAAGACGTTGGGGGACTGTGCAGCGGGAACACCTTAGAGTGAGAATCTTCAGGGTGTGAAATGAGGATCCTCGTGTCCCCTGACATTCTACCATGTCACAGAGAGGACACACCAAGTGTCAGGACGTATCTTTGAAGATCTGACTTTTAGCTTAACTTTTTACTTACAAAATTAGTTTAACTGCTCAAGTAATCTGGCTTTCTTATCGTTGCTGCTGCTGTTGTTTCGTTCACAGGTGAACTTTGGCGTGTACCTGATGCATGAGTCTTTGGATCCATCATCTCCGTGTTTCCTGTCTGTAGGATCTCAGGTGCTCCCCGTGTTGAAAGCGAACGTGGAATGCCACGATGTACCCACTTGTGAGAAAGACCAGGACGTTATCTCCTAGGCCTTTTTGGCAATGTACATTAAAGTTTCTCTTTTACAATGATCTCTGCTGTTATTAAGGTCTGCAGCTTGATTCAGTAGAACTTGTTCTTTTTTTTTTTTTTTTTTTGGAGAGATTTTCACTGTAGGGCACGTGCGCTCGCCAGACAGACAGAGAGAGACATAGAGACAGAAAGTGAGAAATCACCCCCCAGGGGGGATGGTCACGCCGCAATCCCTTCTCCTCCATTCTCCTCTCGGGATCTTGGGCACGCACGCACACGCGCCCGGCATGAGTTTTAAGCCACCGGGTCCGGACACGAACCGCGGTCGACTACGTGGGAGTCCAGCGATATAGCCATTACGCTAACTGCTGGTTCCCTAGAACTTGTTCTTTTGAAAGAGAAGCGTCCTCTGCCTTTAAAGGCAGAGAATGTCCTCACCTGCTGCTTCTTCCTTGGACTTCTCACAGTGCACCAGCTTTGCTCAGCGAGCAGTTCCGAGGCCGCGAGATGGCACGTTGTGCCTGTGCCCAGCCGGGCTCCCATCTGTATCTGCAGTATGATTAGCTGTGACCAGGTGAATGATTTTTCCTTTATGAAAGAGAGAGATAGAGAGAAGGATAGAGAGAGAAAGGTCAGAGATAGTTTTGACAGGGTCTTGCCATGTCCTAATCCTCCTGACTCAGCCTTCCAATTAGTTAGGATTACTCGCGTGCACAGCCATATTGGCAGGCTTAAGTTGGTCCTTCCTGGAACTGAACCTGGGACTCCCATGCAGCTCCCAGCCCCTCAAGTGGTGGTGCTATCTGTGTGCCACCACAGTTGGGCAAGATGAAGCTTTTAGTGAGTCTCAGTGGGAATCTTTAATCTACTCCAAGTCCGTATTTTGTCATTTCCTTAAACTGTTATGTTGTCTTTAGAAAGAATCTTTAGGCTCTCTCCCTTGGTCCCAAGGAAGGCCGTCTATGCCCACTTACCTTCAGAGTATGAGAAGGTGCCTCTCTCCTTCCATGTCCGTGATTTGTGCCCAGGGACCCAGAGGGTGACTTGGGAACACCTTCCTTGAGGGGATTTTCAACCGGGATATTTATGTTCTAAGAAAAGGCACAGGCCTGCAACTCCCTTCTTCTTACTCCCCATCCCTGGTCGCCATCCTTGTCCACCTCTGGGTTGACACACTGGGATTGCTCAGGAGCCGGAAGTTACACTCAGCAGTGGTGGTGCTTATACATATGATTGTCCTGCTCTCTACAAACCCATGGAATGGTGTTGGTTTCTCCATAAGAGAGCTCCAAATCCCAGTCAAGAGAGTAAGTTTCTAGGTTCAGGGATCCTCCTATACCTCCTCTGACCAGTGCTCCTCTAGCCTTTTGTTGAATATGTCCAGTGATAGAAAGCTCACTCTCCACTAAAGTTAGGAACCCACCCCACTTAGTTTCTAGAAAGTTCCTTCCTATACTGACCTTATGCCTGCTTTCCTGTGACTCCCAGCACTGAGTCTTTCCCTGTCCTCTGGATCAGCACAGAGCAAGCATGTCCTTTTGTGTATCCATCTGCCCGTGTCTTTCTGAAGCCTGGTTGCCACAGTGAGCCCTGGTCACTTCAGCACCTCCCACCTGGGTCATTGTATCTCTCTAGTCACTTCTCTTCCCAGAAACCTGCCCACCTCTGCCTACAGCCTCTTCTTGTTGTGTCTGATTTCTGACATTGTAATTCAAATCCTCTCCCTTATGGCACAATGATGTAATGATCTACTGTAATTATTTGACATTGGTCTGCCTCCATTAAACTGCAGGCTCTGTGAGGACAGGGTCCTTGTCTTTTTGGTTTGCCAGTGTATCCCCAGTGTTGGCAGATAACAGGTACTCAGGAACGTTTGTTGACTGGCTTTACTTAAACTGGTCCTGTTTTTACAATTATTGGTTGGTTGAATTTGTTCATTAAATTTATTCATTTAAAATAGTTTAAAAATGTGTTTTGACTTTTGGATCTACTTTCAGTATTTAAAAAAACATATTTATTTTTAATTTATTCATTCATTAATTTTAATTTGACCAGAGAGAGACAAAGAAAGAGAGAGAGAGAGGGAAGTGAGGAAGCAAGCCACCAGGTCCAGGACTCGAACCTTGGTCAGCCAAGTGGGAGTGTCCAGTGGCTTAACCACCACACCACCTGCTGGCCCCTACTTTCAGCATTTCGTATATGAGGTTTCAGTTCAAAATGTATTTTGTGTATTCTATGAAGTGGTCTCATATTCAGAACTTGTGAACATCTGTAATTCTGTGTCTCTATCTTGGTTTCTACCTTCTGGAGTTCAGTCCTATGTACTTCTTTTTTTTTTTTTTTTTGAGAGGTTTTCACTATAGGGCGCGTGCACTCGCCAGACAGACAGAGAGAGACAGAAAGCGAGAAATCACCCCCGAGGGGGGATGGTCACGCCGCAATCCCTTCTCCTCCATTCTCCTCTCGGGATCTTGGGCACGCACGCACACGCGCCCAGCGTGAGTTCTAAGCCACCGGGTCCGGGACGCGAACCATGGTCGACTACGTGGGAATCCAGTGACATAGCCATTACGCTAACTGCTGGTTCCCAGACCTATGTACTTCTAAAAAAATATAAAAATTAAGGGAGGTGTTGTGTCCCATGGATGGAATTCTAAATCAAATCTCAGAGTCACAAAAAGTCAAATTGTGTGTGTGTTTGTGTTTGAGAGAGACAGAAAGTAAAAAATCACCCCCCTAATAGGGAAGACCATGCCGCAATCCCTTCCCCTCCAATCTCCTCTCAGGATTTTGGCCATGCACGCACAGGTATCTGGCATGAGTTTTAAGCCCTCAGGTCCCAGACTCAAAACATGGTAGACTACGTGGGAGTCCAGCAACATAACCATTACGCCATCTGCTGGTCCCAACCAAGACCTCTTCGGGGAGAATGGTGGTGCTGACTTCTCCCCATGGAGACTGAACCTCATCAGGTCTGTGGGGTTCTTTCCTCCGTTGAAAGATATCTGCTCATCTTTTTCATTTGGTATGTGCTGAACAAGTTCTAGGGTTATAGAAACGAAAGAAATAGGAACTGTATTTAAGGATCTTTCCAAAGGAGGAAGACAGTCAGTAAATAGGTGTGATATGGCTTGTTTCAGAAACACACTGAACTCTGATTAAGGCATGTGTCATTTGGGGTTTTTATAAAAGGATCCAGGAAATAGTTTTTGGTGAGAAGATTATAAAGGATTCAAAAACGCACTTGAATATTCTCTGATGTTAGTCTCTGATGGTATATTTTGACTTTGACTTCTAGTCTGAGTTGGATGGCTTGGATTTCAGGTTACGCAAGCTCAAAATAATTTAAAACCTGGCTTTTATGAACATATTTAGTCTCATCTATGTTAAAATTGACTAGAAAGTGGCTAGAAAATTATGAGCATGGGGACCAGCAGTTGGTATAATGGCTATGTTGCTGGACTCCCACATAGTTAACTGTGGTTCAAGTTCCAGACCCAGTGGCTTAAACTCATGCCGGACAGGTATGTGTGTCCAAGATCCCAAGAGGAGAATGGACGAGAAGGAATCGTGGTGTGTTCATCCCCCCGGGGGATGATTTCTTGCTTTCTGTCTCTCTGACTCTCTCTGTCTTTCTGGCAAGCACATAAGCCCTATAGCAAAAACCTCTAAAAAAAAAAAAAGAAAAAAAAATCTGAGCATGTGCATGAGTGTCCAAGATCCAATGGGCAAGAGGACCGGATAAAGGGGGGTCACAGCATGACTAGGCCCAATGTATGGTGCTTATCTTTCTCTCTCTGTTTCTCTGTCTCCCTATGGTGAGTGCATGTACTATCTGTCAATTAAAAATATAGTTTGAAAAGTAACATCAAAATAAATCCTAAGACAATAGAAGGAAACAATAAATAACACAAATTAATGGAATAGAAAACAAAAGCTCAAGCTAAATAATAAAATAAAAAATAATGAAAAAATGATAAATCTCTGACAAAGAAAAAAAAAAGGCACAAATAAACAATACTGGAAATGGAAAAGTAAATGAATACTAGATTAAGAGTAGATTTTTTAAAAAATTATGAGACTTTTTCTTAAAGATTTATTTATTCATTTAATTTTATTTGTTGTTATTTATTTGATGAGAGAGAGAGAGAGAAAGGGAAAGTGAGAAAGCAAGTCACCAGGTCTGGGATTTGAACCACAGTTACCCATGTGGGAGTCCAGTGCCTTAACCACCACTCCATCTGCTGGCCCTGTAAGAGACATTTCTAAATTTATATATACATGGTAGCAAGTTCTCAAATTATATAAAACAAAAAGGGCAGAACTAAGAGAAGTAAACAAATTTACAACCCTAAAGGGGAAATTTGAATACATCTTTCTCAGTATTGATAGAAATAGTGGTCAGAAAATTAGTAAGCTATAGAAGATTTGAACAATGAGATTAACAAATGTGACTTAGATTTGTATAGGACACTAAATGGAGCAAGAGCTTAATATATTTATGTTTTTCATGCACAGAGAAAATGTATAAAAGTTGACCAATTTTGTGACTGGGCTGTAAGCCATATTTTTCACCCCCAAAATTATGTTTTTTTTTTTTTTTTGAAAAGGCCATAAAAATAGTTTCAACAAATTTCAAAGACCAAAATCATATAGAGTGCATATTCTGAACTTAATACTGTTAAGTGAAAAATCAACCGAAAAGGTAACTAGAGAAACTCGTATGTTTGGAAATTGTTAAAACCATATTGCTAAATTACTTGTGTATAATGGAAGAAATCACAATGAAATATTGGGAAACATTTTAAATGAAAGGATAACGATACTACATACTAAATCCTGTGGGTTGCAGCTAAAGTGATACTTTACAAAATGTATAGTCTTATAAGCGTATATTAGGAAAGAAAGGAGAAAAAAATTAGTTAAGAATTCATTCCAATTTTCCTAATTTCCCTCTCCTTTAGTCTCTATGTATAACTCTTGACTCCCTAAGAATTTAACCACTGGGGCCGGCAGGTGGTGTGGTGGTTAAGGTTCTGTACTCCCACATGGCTGACTG